ATCTTTAACGGTCGTCTTCTCTTCTCCTTTAGTATTTAACCCAATCCCAAATTTAAAAATTAGGGGTTTTCATTATAATTTTTCTCCTATTCTCATTTCTTTTAAAATTTATGTCTGAAAATTGTAAGAGAAAACCTGTGAAGACGGAAGACTTCATGGATGTTCCGTTTTGCAACTGTGGATACCCAATTAAAGTGGCCACTTCTTGGACGAATGAAAATTGTGGGAGGAGATTCTTTGGTTGTCAAAACTATGGGAAGAATATGAGCACAAAATGTCATTTTTTGTTTGGATAAATCCTCCCATGGTGACTCAGGCAAGACTTGTGTGCTTAGGGTTGTTGGAAAATTGAGAAAAATGGAAAGGAAAAAAAGAAATGAGATATTTTTTTTTTTGGATTTTTATCTTGTTTTTATGTCTTTTTAAGCTTTGTCTTAGCAATTAAAGAATGATTGGGGTTTTTTATTTATGTTAGTGGAAAGAATGTTTAGCAAATGGATAAATGAAACCTTTTGTAATGACGTTTTGTATGGGTTTTTGTTGAACTTTTAGTTGAATGAGGTTATTTTGTAATGGTGGATGTTATTTTGTAATGGTGGAATTATAAAATGAAAATTTCTTCTGTATTTTACTATAAGAAGGAAAATGTGAAATAGGCTATAGTTTAATATCACAAGGTGATTTGTAACTTGTCAAAATATGATGCAATTCAATAACAGTAAGTTGATACAAGTCAAAATAATAGTTTATTAAACCTGCTCTAGTTCCTAGATAAACTACACAAAATGTAAAGAAAAGAATGGTTATACATCAAAGCCACCATAATCAAAATAATGGTTATCCAACAATGAGCCAAGTAATAGGTATATGGCAAAATAAGTACAATTCCTAGATAAACTACACAAAAAGTTTCATCTTCAATTAGACGTACTTCAATCTTCTGCTGTAGTTTGAAATTCTTGATTTGGATTATTAGAAACACAAGATTCTTGACTGGAAGACATCATCCAACGGACTGTAGTAGGTGAATTACGTGGCCTCCTTAGAGGTAATTTGTGCCTCACTAATTGCCTTGGAGTTGGTTGTTGGGATGGCCGATTAGATGCAAGTTGTTGGATGGTTTGAGCTTGTTGTTGGTGAGTTGGATGTGGTCCATGTTGGTTTAGTCTTTTGTTACCATCAACTTCTCCTCTACAAGTCCTCTTATTGTGGCCAGATGTAACATCTTTAACCCGTATACGTACCCGAATACGAGTTAAAGATGTCACATAGCTTTACATACATTCTAAGGTTGAAAATCTAGTATAATTTTGAACTTTTAAAATTTGTCCAATTTAATCCTTTCAATAAATAATATAATCATGTAAAATTATATTATAGTATTTAAGCCTCTAAATCAATATCATTTTTAGGCAAAAACTAGATAGTTCTATACTGTTCCATATCATACGATAAACTGCCTAATTACTGTCTAATTTATAATATTTCTTTACTCTTTCAAAATATAATTTTCATTTAAAAAACAAAACTTAAATTCATATTTATATCCATAATAACACATCTTAGATTTTTCTTATTCGTATACATGTCATCTAGAAAATTTAAAATAGTAGGATATCATTACTGATACCTAAAACTTTTTCTTTATTGATTGATGCCCACTCATCTCCTTACTTCACTCGCTCTTCTTTACCTACGCGTGAAAATCATCACACGCTATGTATATACTTAGTTAGGCATTATAAACAAACTAAAGTGATATGAATATCAAACAATTTAGCAAAATCTAAACAACGTATTCACTTATATAAAACTTAATATAAAACTTAATAATATCATAACAATTTAAAACATTAACTTAAATTCCAATAAAATCACTAAATATCCAAACAGATTTATTCAAGCCATTTTTCCTCATCAAGGACCTGAAAATCATCATCTCGTGATTTTATCAAAACCATGATAAACAATATCATACATAATAGTCATATTAAAGCCATGATAAACAATATCATACATAATAGTCATATCATATTCTTTTTCATTCATATACAATACAAAACTTTCATATATCATTTTCATCTTTCACTTTCACTTTCACATTTTAATTTTCATAATTCATACTTCCACATTTTAGAACTCATTGTCATATTCAGAACTTGTTTCCGGACTCATAACTTATTTCAAATTCATAGATTATTTTTAAGTTCATAGCTGAATGCATATTTATTAGAATGCAATGTACATGAGTCAGACGAGTGTGTGTAATAAACACTTCAGTGCTATCATCAAAATCAAACTATGCACTCCAAGTGCAATCATATCACTTGCACCAACGGTGCTATACATAATGTACACAAATGTACCAGATCATAATCATAATCACTCCACCTCATGGCATGCCAATTGTACCTATGACTCTCAATGCAACATACAATGAGGTTTTACATTAATTATTATATGTTATAGAATTATCAAAGATATCAATATCTCAACATATCCAACTTTTCATATCATAACATGATGGGTAGCTCATACCCTAAATCATTCATAAAAATTTATAGAAATATCATGGAAATAATCCATAATGAAAATAAAAACATACTTTAAAATAATATGAAGTTAACTTATCACAAGTTGTCCGTGATCAAAATAATTGAATAAAAAACTGCACTTACTTATTATTACTTTCTCTTTTAAACATATAAATACCATATTTCCTTGTATAATAAATATCATAATTTATCATGTCAATGTAATAAAATTGACTCATTTCAAACATGCTAAGATAACATATATCATGAGATTATCATAACATACATAGTTTGCACTACCTTCAAAGAAGTATTATTGTGTATTAATATACACACTTAAAAATTATTATATTTTATACCACTGGAAACTAAACTCGAATACGAATCTAATCATATAAGACACTTCTTCTAGTTCATCTTGTACAATTTATAGTGAATTTTCAAAGTTGACTTACAGAAGCTGATTTGAGCAGAATCTGCTGTCATGTTTTCTAACCTATCATCGATTAAAAATTCATATATTTTTGTATACTTCTTGAAATCAATATTCGTTTGTCTCAACAAAACTAGACTTCTATACAAATTCAACGACATAAAAATCATCCCCTATTCATTTATATAGAATTTATGGTGATTTTCTAAACGTATTATTCATAACACAAATCATAAAATCATAAAACCCTAACATGAACATAAATCCTAAAATTTGGGAACTCAACATCCAAGCAAGATTAGCATCAATAATGGTACCAAATGATAGAGCTCTTTGAATAGAACAATTTTCTATTTCAATGTTCGATCCAAAATCCAAAGGAAATTGCTAAAAAATAAAAAGTAAAATTTCTCTTACCTAGGTTATGAGAAGAACGAAATGGAGGTTGAAGAAAGCCTTATTTTCATGAAATTTATAGTTAATTTCATGCTAATTTATCATTATTAAGCTTAAATGAATTTAAAATTCATTTAATTGAGAAATAACAATTTCACCCTTAATTGAACTTGATAATTACATTCATACCTTAACACATGTTACTTATCATCTTCCAAAGTCAAATATGGACAAATTATTTTACCCTTTACAACTTTTTCCATGCACTGTTCCAAAATTCCAATCTTGCCATTTTTCATCCAATGTTCCAAATTGAACATGAAAATAAATTCTCAAATTCAATGCTCTATATTATTTTCAATCATTTTAAAATGTGAAAATAATATTTATAAGATTAATTTAATATCCTTCAAATTTTCTCAAAATTTTTATTCTATCCGATTTACCAAATTTTTACCGAACTAATACACTTTATAGCTTTTAACATAAATTCCGGATCAAAAATTTGATTTCCACCAGAACATTATTCTTGGGAACTATTTATTTATGGGATTAAAACACCTAAATTTTTAAAATTACACTTTTGGTCCTTAAACTTTTGAAAATTGTCTTTTTGGTCCTTATTTTTTTTCAAACTTTATACTTTGGCCACTAAACTTTCAAAATTTATATTTTGGTTACTAACTAAAATTTGGGGTATTACACTAGGTTTTCCACATTTGGAACAATTACTCACCCCACATTTCTTTCTTAGTTTAAGTCTATTGTTGTTTCCTTTATCAATTTCCTTCATCTCTTTTTTAGTTGGCCTTCAAATTGGTCTTCTCAATTTTGGAGGTAGAATGTGCTCCATGCCAGTGACAGGAGTCTATTGGTTAACACCTAATAATAAAGAAAAAATTAGTTAACAAATTAACATAACATAAAACATTCAAATAAGATAGGAAGGCTTTGTGACAGTAGTTCACCTAATAAAATTGACTTTGATTTTCTAGGGGAATATGATTTGGATTCAAGAAAGGTTTGGTCAAAACAATTATGAAAAAAAGGTTGAATCACTACTAGAAAAAACCCCCCCTTTAATGACGCGCATTGCGCGTCATCTATGGGTGCAGATGACACACAAATGCCTGTCGTTGAAGCCACCGACATAAATATCAAATGACGTGCAATTGTGAGTCATAAATCTATAACGCACATTTATGACACTCATTGCGCGTCATTGAAGCCCCCGTCATAAATGAAGATGACACACATTTGTGTGTCATAAATTTATGACACGCATGTATGACTTACATTACGTGTCATTGAAGGACATGTCATTAAAAAAGATGACACGCATTCTTGTGTCGTGATTGTATTTCGTAAATTATATACATATATATATATATTGAGATTGACAAATAATCAAACTAAATCACATTTAATGCCTCATAATACTAAATATATATATCATATTATATATAAGCAATCCATTTGCATACAATATATTCACATTAAGTTATCAAAAATATTGTAATGGTTCTTAACTTTGGTTGATCAAAGTCAACATTTGAAACCCCCACACGTAAAAAGCCATAAAATGATGATCAACACAACTACAGCTCCTCCTACCATCAGTTTCATTTACAGATTCTTCAGCCACATCTTTCGTCGTTGTTGCCGCCCTTGCCTCTGGAAGCTATCAGCCTACGATATTATTACAAAACCATATATATATTATGATGCTTACCCAGACCCTAAACTAAACCACAAAAGAGAAGATATCACCAACCTGGAATTACAAGTTTTCTGTTTTGTCCACTAGAAGTTCAATCTTCTCCCCACGATCCAAAACCTGATCAGAAACGGAATTAGTGAACCGAGCACTAGCTGTTATGCCATGGGAAAACATTCATTTCAGACATGGTCCCAAAATTTGAAATATTAACTTTTGGAATGAAAATTTTTAGGTCTTGTTAAAGTAAATCCATTAAACTATATCTATGCATAGGCATGTGCACAAATGGCGGCCTCCAGAGCATCTGAAGGCACAAGTAGATATTTGGTTTGGTACTATAATTAGTTTGGACTGTGACCATACTGTACGTTACTAAACTAATACACGGGAAAACTCATTCATATATGTCTGTTGCAGAAGTCAATGCTAGAGCAAGATGGATTTTGCATCTCATATGGCAATAACTATAAAATCACAATGTAAATTTCTTCAGAAACTAGTGATGAAATTTGATGGTAGCCATTTTTCTTCTCTTTTTCAGTAAATAAACAAAATAGAAGATTCAACCTTCAACAATCCACACCATTAGCATTAAAAATAAAGAAAATCTTTAGCTGATGGAAAATTCAACAAAATTTGTCTCTTATTATATTCACTAATAATTTACCTCTTATATAGAAGGCTTACAAATTAAGAAATAAAACTTTATTTTCATAAATTAATAAGGAAAGCAAAATATCAGACAAGTATCCTAATTCATAAGTAAAGTTTATTTAAACCAATAAGGAAATTATAGGAAATAAAAATCAGAATCAAATCCCCTAAAATTGAAGCACCTAGAGCTAAGGAGAAACATTGCATAACCAAAAAGGCATTAATGCACCAAAACAATCTAGAAATATTCTTTATTACATACATAGTCATCACTCAACACAGATGGGTGAAATTTGATGGCTAAGAACATCACCAAGAAAATCTGATCATCAACCAAACACTATTATATTCAAAGACTCGTCACAATTTAGTCAGCTATTCGTAAAAGTTGACCAAGACGTACCACCAGATTTACCATATAAACCAAACTTTATACCTCCAAGTTACTACCTTAACCAGAGACCTACTTCTGCTCCTTTATTGTCACATTGGCAACTACTTTTTTATGGGCTTTTATTTCAGTTAGACGTTAAAAATCTCATGGAGACTTTGAGGATGAATGTCATTAGAAACCAATTAAATCCATTACTCAGGGGGAGTTAGAGCTAGTGTGTTATTTGAAGAAGACTTTACATATGTTAAAACAATCTCCTGGGGCATCGTTTTAGAGGTGCCATGAAGTTATCTATTGGCAAACAAAAGGAGACAGTTTTATTAATTTACACATGGATGATATGGTCATTATTACTGATGATAGAGGAGAGATACAAGTATTGAAATAGCATCTTCAAACTAAATTTCAGACCAAAGTTTTAGGGGATTAAAGATCTAAAATAGGGTTTAAGCAACAAAAGCCGATGACTATTTCCTGATAATCAAGAAGCTCATTATAAAGCCTCAAATCCAGAAATGTTAATGTTACCCTGCAACATAAGACATTTTCTTCCTTTTTTTTCTTATATTGGGGGTTTGTTGTTGATGGGAAGAGGGCTTTCTTCTTCCGATTGTCACCTATAGTTACCACACCTGAAATTTTGAAATTCTCATGATCCGCATGAAATATGGAACCTAATGGTAATTTGAATAGTAATAACAACATTACATGAATGTTGAGAAAACAAACGACATAACAAGTTAAATATTTATAGGCAAGTTCAATGGTAGTAACCAAAGAAATCTGTATACCAGCCACTATAAATTTTTTTTTACAAAATACTTAAATCTCTACATTCAAAAGAACACATCCACTTTTTCCACACTTGTACCACTTCTCAAGAAAATAAATACATACCTTTTCAATGTTATCCATCATAATCCCCTTCACCTCAGTTACTTGAGCTTTTAATTTTGAGAGCTTACTAATTTCTTCTAGATGGTTCATGTAATATTGCATGTGCTCCTTAAGCCTTGGACTGTTGTACATAGAAAGGCGCTACAGGTTAGGATTATACTATCATGTGTATGAACAACACAGGATAACTGGACAAATGTAACAATTTAACCTTGCCAAGCATTTACTTACCCAAATTCTCAGTCAAGATTATATGCAATACTAAATCGATCCTCAAATAAGTCATCATCATCGTCATCATCAGCTAAAGGATGGGGACTCTCATTTCTTACACTCGCACCATATCACTGTAACAAATCCATGAAGATGTTGGAGTCAACAACAAAGATAAAAACATCATGAAAAATTAAGCAGGCAACAACACATAAAAATATGCCCTTTGATGTTAGCAGAAATGATTCTAAAGATGAAAAACTTTAAAGAACTTAAGTGATTGGTGAACGATTCAAAAGGGCCTAATTATACAATTCAAAACTGGATCAAACTTGTAGAAGTTCCAATAGAAAATATAGTTCATGCTCAGGTCCAATCACAGGAGAAGTCTAAACAAGTAAATTATAGTTGGAGAGGCTAGAATCAGTACTAAAATTTACTTCATTCTTCTGTGCGATCTTGAGAATATCTTAACATTTCTCGGTAAATTTCCAGGAGTAGAATTTAGTATTAAAAGGTGAAAAAATTCAATCCAAAAGCATAAGCTATGGTTCATCCTATTAACTTCAAAGAAAATGAAATAAATTCATAGCACTTCTTTGTCCCCATACACCAGAAGAAAAGAATATAAAAAACAGAAACATTGATTAATTAATTATCATCATAACCATTGATCCCAGGAAAAGAGTGTTTCACTAAACATCAAAAATACATATGCATTGGTAAATAAGAGATCCAAATTAAAAGGATACAACTCCAGCATTAAAAGGGAATTAGCCAAAAGATCGAGCCCAGTGAGTCAAATACAAATAACTCAGCACAGTTAAGTCCTCTAAACATTGTTTCAAGTTCTAGTTTATATTGCTAAAGTTATTTCAGCACTCAACAATAACTCTTCTAATCTATACAAGTTAGAAATGGCCAGAAGAATCATATCAGAAGTTTGTTATTCGATAAATTATGTATAACAAAACAACAATCGCATCTTTTTCAGCTTTTCCTACTATTCAATCTAAAATCTCTAGAAGCAAGCATTCAACATTCCATGTTCCCTACCAAAATAATTAACGATCCAAATCTAATCAAATTAACAACACCAATCGATCGCTTAAAATGTTGAATTTCAATTTTTAAGGAATTTTAAATTGACAACGATGAAAGAACTAGATCCAATCGAGCAGTGGAAAGATAAGGCTGAGATCTTGTCCCAAAGAACAAAAGAGAGAGAAAATATGAATTCAGCCTAACAGCTTCGCAAGCTTAAAAGTAAATAAATAAATCAGATTCCATGGCAAGTACTGCAGGATCCAAACAAAAGGCAAACAAATAATTAGAATTTGGATAGAAAAATGAGAAGAAAACCTTATTTTATATGCAATTTAATTTCAGGTTTATGCTTACTCCTGCCGTTGAGCCCTGTAAAACAATTGAATAAATAAATTAAAAGAGGCAGCTGCTTTTAATTTCCTACGAAATCTTCTTCTCTGTATTCTTTTTCCATTTTCCAAATCCAGAGTTGCCCAGCCTTGAATCCTCCTAAACCCTTCGTCTGCGTTATGGTGAATGGCCAAACCAGTGGGAGGTTACAAAGAGAAAAATGGGAAAAGAGAAAAATGGGGGAAGCAAGCGTAAACTTTGTTATCGAGGGGGAAGAAGCGGGAATGAAAATAATGGGGGGGGGAAATTAAAATACGACTTTTACAGATGACACACAATTAAAATTGTACTCCGTGTTTTTGTAAATTTTTTGGATTATGACTATTAAATATGACACACATTATTGTAAGTCATAAATCGTTCAGATTTTAAAAAACGTGACATTTTTTTATGACACACATTTTTTGCAAGTCATAAATTAGCGTGTGTCATTGTTCGTGTGTCATTAAAGGTATATTTTCTTGTAGTGAATGATGGTGGTTCCTCGCCTCTTACTTTGGCCCATATTTTATTCGCCAGTTTAAAGTGTGGAAATGTTTGCAGAATGAAGAAAAAAAGGTGTGGTGAAAAATATGAAGCCATAGCATTCGGGGCCTCTCGACGACAAATGGAGGTAAGTCTCGGCGAGTGGCTAGTAGGGTTTTGATTGAAATAGGGTAACACTCCTATTGATATTGACGGTGACAATCACGACTGATGACATAAATTGAAGATAGGTGTTTGAAGGGTCTTATCGCGATTTGAGATGAACAGTGAACGATGAGTATGAATTGATGGTCGGGGTGTGGTCGGGAGGCGACGCCGGTAACGATGGTGATGGAAGTGTGAGTCACCACTGACCGGAGGAAGTTACTTTTATGTGTGTATGAGAGAGGAAGAAGATGAAGAAAAGGGTTAATGTGAGTTAAGTGTCACGTCAATAAAAATTAGTGAGAGGTAACGATTGCGACTTTACTGAAAATGAATTAAAAGTTCGATAATTGTATTGCATGTTTCAAATGTTAGATGACCAAAATGCAAACGTCCTAAAAGTTTAGGGACTATTTATATACTTTACCTTAAATTTAATTTCATATTAATGTGAGTGGATTCTTCTTATTTTGAATATTTCTATTAATAACATTAATTAAAAAAATTATATTGATAGCATACAAAATTGAAAACACAGCCGCATGTGGCTGGGTATCTGGATCATAAAGATATTGTAGGTGGTAGTCTGGGGAGCTTACCCTGGGAAAAGGTTTTTGCCTTCATTTGTGGGGTTCATGGATGTGTCCTTCAATTCACTCTAGTTCATAACTGTAAAACCCTGCCTCTGAATTATATGTAGTGGCAATGGTAAAACAACTATTTTACATTTAATGTTTATTCTTCGAATGTTCCCCCCACAGGACACAGTTTAATACCAATAATTCAGTGAAGCTCTGCTTACCTCAAGGGTACTACTAAATGTACCAAATTTACTAAATCTACCATTAAACAATCATTTCCTCCGCTATCCATTACCATTAAACAATCATTTCTTCCACTACTCATTAAATAAATTCCTTACTAAAAATCTCACTATATATTAATAATCATCCATTACATGATAAGTGAAAGCAAAAAACGTGAGGTGGGAAGTAGGGGTGTATTTGCAGTTCGGTTAGGTTTTTTACCAAAATTTAATCGAACCGAAATAAACGGGTTTTCAAAATTTAAACCGAAATCAAATGGTTAAAATACCAAAAAATCAAAACCATTTTTTTCGGTTCGGTTTTTTTTGAATGTTCAGTTCGATTTATCGTTTTTCAATAAAAAACACTTGAAACTATAATTTTTTTTAAAAAAAATTACATATTCGGTTCAATATGAAACAAATGGGTTACATATAGAAAACCCGAACCAAACCGAATCAAAAGAATTGAGACTTTAAAATAATTTAATTTTAGTAGGATCTGATTTGTTTAAATTATTTCAATTTCGATTTAATTTTATTTTTTGTTACATATTAATTTTATTTTTATTTGAATTTTTAGATATCACAAATTTTTTTAATCAAACAAATTTATAATAGATCTGAGACTTTTGATCGATTAACTCCCAATCCGGCGCAATTTAATTTAGACTCACCCTAAAGAAACCAAAGGGTATGAGTGTGTAGTGATTTTTCTTTTCTTTTTTTAATGAGAGCAAATGGCTTTGATTTCAAAGATTGCACTTTTTTTTGGTGGGCAATGCCAATGATTATAATTATAATTTCCCAAAGTCACTTGTAATAAAAAAAATAAAAAGGTGGTAAGTTTAGTAATTTTCTTGGTACATTTAGACACACCCCATTGCGAAAGCATGAGAAAGGTTGACAATTCTAATCCGAAAAATAAGAGAAAGGATGACAATTGAGTAATGACGAGTGTTTCTAGCTATTTCTCGAAGGGGCTAACTATCTATCATATCTGAAACTTGTCTAAGCCAACTACGGTTGAAGCTGATCAAACTCAACTCTCGCCTGGCAACTCTTAGTCGCTCAACTCGCTACCAAGATGCCCTCCATCTATTCGACGAAATTCACTGTCTACACCACGATGTTGGACCCGACCATTACACTCTCTCCACCACCCTCAAGGCATGTGCCAATCTCCCCAACCTCCCATTCGGAACGAAACTCCACACCTACTCCATCAAATCCGGCTTCAAAGCCTACTTTCATGTCTCAAACACTCTCCTTTTCCTCTATTCCAACACGCATCATTTAGCTTCCGTTCAGAGGGTTTTTAATGAAATTAAATACCCGGATGTTTATTCTTGGACTACCATGTCGTCTTCATGTACAAAATTGGGAGGAATTTCTTATGCTCTCCATGTGTTTGATAAGATGCCTAAGAAAGAAGTGGCGGTATGGAATGTGATGGTTACTGGGTGTATGGAAAATGGGTATGAAGACCTTGGGTTTGGCTTTTTTAAGCAAATGCACTTTTTGGGTTTTAAGCTTGATAATCATAGCTTTGCTAGTGTGTTGAGCGAGTGTTATAGTGAAAATTTGGGATTTGGGAGGCAAGTTAAAGCTTTGGTAGTTAAAACTGGGTTTTTGTTCCGAGCTTCTGTGGTTAATGCAGCGATTACTACGTATTTTAATTGTGAAGATGTTGTAAATGCATGCCGGGTTTTTGAAGTAGAGAGCTTCGTGTATGATCCCATTACTTTTAATGTAATGATAGATGGTTTAATGAACGTAGGAAGAGTCAAACAGGCATTGTTAATGTTTGGGGAGATGTTACAGGCTTGCTTGAGCCCCTCTGAACTGACTTTTGTGAGTCTACTTAGCTCTTGTTCATGTGGAAGAGTTGGGGATCAAGTATACGCACAAGCTGTAAAGTTGGGTTTTGAACAGTCTACCTCTGTGGGAAATGCAGCGATAACGATGTATTATAGTTGTGGGGATTTAAATACTGTTCGGTGAGTTTTGAGAGATTAGAGCAAAAGGATATTGTGTCATGGAATACTCTGGTATCAACTTATGCTCAAAGAAGCTCTAGTAGCTCGACTTTTCTTATCTACGTGGAAATGCAAAGGTCAGGGATTGAACCGGATGAGTTCACTTTTGGAAGCTTATTGTCATGCTCAGAACTCATAGAAATGGGTGAGATGATTCACGCCCTTGTGTTTAAAAATGGACTTATTTCGAGAGACCAGGTCTCCAACGCATTGGTTTCTTCATACTCTAAGCATGAGAAGATGAATCAAGCCTATCAATTATTTCAAACGTCTACCAAGAACTTGATTTCCTGGAATACTTTTATATCAGAGTTCTTTCTAAATGGGTTCCCAACTCAGGGCCTAGAGCAATTAGCCAAACTGTTCATGTCAAACCTCAGGCCAAATGCATATACACTTAGCATCGCTATTAGTATTTGTGCCAGCATCTCATCCTTACGTAATGGGAAACAGCTTCACGGTTATATCCTCAGGCATGATTTTTCTCCAGAAACATCTTTAGGCAATGCTCTAATCTCAATGTACGCAAAATGTGGAACTTTAAATTGGTCTTTGAGAGTTTTTGATGAGATGATTGAAAAGGACACAATCACTCTCATTTCTTCTTTTGCGCAGCATGGTGAAGGTAAAGAAGCTGTCCTTTGTTTCAAGGCAATGAAAAGTGCAGGTGGGGTTAAACCTGATCAAGCAACATTTACTACTCTTATTTCTGCCTGCAGCCATGCTGGTTTAGTTGATGATGCCACTTGGATATTAAATTCCATGGTAAATGAGTATGGCTTTGTGCCCAGAGAAGATCATCTTTCATGCATGGTTGACCTTCTTGGTCGGGCTGGGTATCTTGATGAAGCTGAAAGGGTAATAAACAGTGAGCATATTGAACCCCAATCTAATATCTGGTGGACCATTTTCAGTGCTTGTGCTGCTCACAGTAATCTATGGCTTGCAAGAATTATTGCTAAGCTTCTCCTTGAAATAGAGCAAAATATTCCATAAGCTTATGTGCTTTTATCAAATACATATGCAGCTGCTGGACAATGGGAAGATGCAGCTAGTATGAGGGAATCGATGAAAAATGTTGGGGTAACGAAGCAACCTGGCTCAAGTTGGATCAGTATATAGATCCCTTCTGATGCACTCTTCTCTCTCCCCTCCAGGGCAAAGTCATTTTCTGTTCTTGTTGTGTCAGATGGCCTTTATTATTTGTCTCCAAAAAACTGAACAGAACTCATCCTGAGTTGGCAAGGGTGTCCTCTGAAGGTCTAATTATTATCACAGGTTATTCCTTACTCTTTTAAGTTGCATGTAAATTATAAAATTTGAGTTACTCTGGCGGAGAAAGTGCTTCTATATTTGCTTATGAATATAGATACCTTGAGATAATCTTCTAGGAAGAAAGCAGACGTCAATTAACAAAAGAAGATGCAAATGCATTATAACCAAAATGGTTTGATCCTTGAAGGCTAAAATCCAGAGCTCAACTTGGTGGATTGGGGATTTGGTTTCTCGTCCAGACAAGTTTAGAAGAAAATGAAGCTGCCACTAAGAAGTTTGATCAGGCTGCATCAAATATGTCATTCCAGCCAGCACGTTAAGTGTTTCACCTAAAACAATACCACTGATATAAGATAAAAATTCAGCTCAATTCGTTAAGGTACAAGTTTTCAATTGATTCTGTTGTGTCATGGTAAAAGATTAATCTTTAGCTCTAAATGAAAATATACCTGTTCGGGTAACTAAGTAGAAGTGATGTGTCAGTCACCAGTCTTGTGCCCTTAACATTGCAAATTTTATATTATTTATTAATTTAATTGATGGGAAATTTGCGCTTATTTTATTTGTTGTCAAACATGTATTCCTACCTTTGTTTTGCTCATCTGGAACTCGTGTAGCTTTTTCTTTACTGATTTTGCCTGCAATTCAATAATATTAAGGGTAAAGTACACAAACATTCTCTCAACTATAGAATATTGCTTTATTGAGTCTATTAACTATTAAAAGTTACAAATGATTCATCGACTATAGGGTTGCTTTGTCGAGTCTCTACTATTAAAAGTTACAAAATGATCACTCAACTATTCATTATGTTCTAAACTCGTCTTTTTCAATTAAAAAATTAACGGTCATCTGAGTTGAATGTTAGCATATTAACTGAGATATGATAGTCGTTTGAGATTATGAGATTGGATTTTATCATATCTCAGTTAACATTTTAACGTTCAACTCAGACTATAGTTAAATTTTCAATGGAAAATGATGAGTTTGAAACATAATAAATAATCGGGAAACCATTTTGTAACTTTTAATAGTTAAGGGACTCAACAAAACAACTTCATATAGCAGGAGGATCATTTTGTAAATTTTAACAGTCGAGAGACTTAATAAATTAATATCCTGTAGTTAGGGGACCATTTATGTATTTTACCCTAATATTAATTGATTACCGCTACATTTGAAGTTGTTGCCAGCATTTTGCATAATTTCGATTGTATACAAATCTCTGAATTGGTTCAACTTTATCCCTGACCATTTATGTAACAGAGTTTGTCAAATTTATAGGTTGGGATATTTGATTTTAAGGTCATCAACAATGAGCCTAAATCAATACCAATAATCTCCACAACAGCATTTGAAGGTTCCAGTTGAAGGAGCTCGTGTGCTGCCTTTGAAGCTAGTTCCATGTTCCCATGTATTTTACAAGCACCAAGCAATGCAGCCCAGCCGATTGAACCAGGGTTGACTGGCATACTCTTTATGAGCTTCTCAGCTTCATGTAGCTTGCCTGCTCGACCCAATAGATCAATCATGCACGAATAGTGCTCCACTTCTGGTTCAATTCCGAACTTATCTTTCATGACGTTGAAATACTTCTGGCCCGCCTCAACTTTTCCAGTATGAGCACAAGCTGAGAGAACGGAGATGAAGGTTATACTTGTAGGGGAAATATTTCGCTCCAGCATGTGCTCAAAAAGAATTAATGCCTCCGTTCCAACCCCATGTTGTGCATAACCAGCAATCATTGAATTCAAAGAGACAGTATTATGTTCTGGCATCCAATCGAAAAACTGTCTTCCGTCCTGGAGATTTCCGCATTTCGAGTACATAGCAATCAAGGCATTATTGACTTGAATTTGATTAGGGACGTTAGATTTGGTTATCAGTGTATGGATCTGTCTTCCCAGAGAAGGTGATGACGAATTGGAGCACGCACTAACTACATTTACAAAGCTACAATCATCAGGGTGATAACCGACACGTTGCATCTCCCGGAAACACTCGAGAGCCTCCTTAGGGAGTTCGTCATTCAAGGAGTACCCCGATATCAAAGTGTTCCAAACAACCAAATCCGGTCTGTAAACCTCTTCAAAAACTTTCCTACAATCGGGCATGTCACCTCCACATTTTGAATACAAATCAATCAAACCACTCGCAGCGTGAGCATTTTGATGGAAGCCAGTCTTGATCAACATAGCATGGAACTGAAATCCTCCAAGCAGATCCTTTAAGCTTGTAAAGGCTGTCAAAACACTGGCCAAAGTAAACATATCAACATCGAGTCCTCTCTTAACTATTTCCTGAAACAATGCCAATGCTTTTGCACCCTCTTTATGTTGCCCGTAGGCCACAATCATGGAATTCCAAGGCACTTCATCTTTCCCCTCCCCCATCTCATTAAACACCCGCTTTGCTTCCTCTAAAAAACCTTCTTTGCTATAATTTGAAAGCAACGCATTGTTGACCGAAGCATAGTGTCGAAACTGTCTTTCGGTTGGACCCGAAATTGGGCTTCGACTTGGATTAAACGAATTGGAGTCGCCACCGATCATTTATTTAAAAATAAATGGGTTGACCGAATACCTTGTAATTTACCTGATCTGCGTCTTACCAAAGATGTGTCGGATTCGGGAGTCGGTTACAATCAAGGAAGGGTTAGCACCCTTGAACTATCCTTTCGGTACTACGTAATTTCCAGTTGTCTTTAGTTAAGAAAAATATAAATTTAAATTAAGAGGTAAAATAGCGATCTCGACTACTTAAAATTGATTGATTTAAAAGTGAACCTTTTAAGAGTCAAAATGTGTATTAGAAAAGGTGATGAAAATAAATTAAAATTGAAAAATAAAGAAAATGAAATGAAGAACAAAATAACAATAAATGATACACCAAAAGTAACATAATCGACATGGAGATATAGAACATGAAGGAAATAAGAATGAAGACAAGTATGACAACATATGATAAGGTAAAAAATGAAAGAATAAAGAAATAAGAAAATAAGACACAATAAAACGAAAAAAGAAAAGAATAAATAAATAAGGAAAGCATAATAAAAGTGAAATAAAGTAATATATGCAAATGTAAAATAATAAGAATTAAATAAAATGTACATATGTATATATAAAAAAATGTAAAATAATAGCGTATAAAGTAAAATAAATAAAATTAATAAAAACATATAATAATATTAATACCATATATATATAATAGCTAAATATGAGAGAGAGGAAAAATATATAATAATAATAGAAAAACTAAATAATGAAAATAAATATAATAATAAAAAAGTAAAGAAATAATAAGATAAAATACAAAATATACATATATATATATATATATATATATATATATATATATATATAATATAGCATATAAGTAAAATAATAATATACTAATAATACATATACGAGAGTGAAATAAAAACTAATAATATATATATAAATATTATAATGTAATATAAAAAGATAATTAAAATTAAAATCCAGAAAAAGGATTAAATTGAAAGAACTACAAGATAGAGGTCGAAAGTCAAAGAAATATTAAGGATTAATTTCAATTTGGGGGTGAAATAACTCTTTAAAAGATACGAGGGACCAAAAGGGTAATTTACCCTATTTTATTTGAAACACGCGGGTCTGATACATATGCTAAAAAAACTAAAAAAACCTTCATTTGATCCATTTCAAAAAACCAGAGCCATCATCTTTTCCCATTTTCTCTGTAGTGTTCTTGAGTTTCCAAGAACAGAGGCCGTGAGTTTCCAGAAACCGGCCATCAGCCGCCGCAAGCTGCCTCGCCGCCGCCGTTGAACGGGCCCGGCCGCCGTTCATCGGCGGCAAAAAATCAAAATTTTTCATTTTTCTTAGAGGTCTTTATACCCTCGTTTAAAAAAAACATACTGCTTTTGTGAAAAGGAGGCCTCGGGAGGGTAGATCTAGAAAAGATCCACTCGAAATACCCCTCCCCGGGTCATCGGCCGTCTGAATGAGGAGACGAAAATAAAGGAAAGGATCTACACTCGTATGCAAAGAAGAACCAAACGAGGTAAAAAAAGATACCTTTATTTCTTTCTCGCTTTCGGATATTACAAGTGCTTTGAGTATTTGCGGTTTGCTGCTGATTTCCCTCGTAATCGTGTACAAAACTTGTGTGTTTGTGTGTATTTCCGTATATATCCCCTGAAAAGCTCTAATTACATGGCTTTATAGTGATAACCTAGGCTATTTTTAGAGTTTTAATCCGAGTAAAACTCGATTTGTTTGTGGTGATAATCCACGACTCTGACTTGGTTGTCTTTGTTGAAACACGTTCGTTGGCGTTTGCTTGATGGCCGAGAGTCTTGCGCTGGAGAACTCGGATTTGTTGGAGATAAGAAACGTGCAGCCATGGGGAGTTGAAGGGGAGAACGGTGCTAGGGTTTCTGGAAACCCTAGCCTACTGGTCACGTGCCTTGGGCTGTTGAGGCGTTGGGTGTAATGTTGGATCTGGGCCACCTGTACTTGGGCCATTTATTATTATTTTATTTGTAAAGGGCCTGTACACAAACATAAAAAATATGTAAGTATGTATATTATGTAATATGGTTAGAAATTATTATACGAAATAACATTATTTAAAACTGATGAAATTTAGTGTCTTCAGCTGCCCCTCTTTGCTCATTGTCGTGTAACGACAATGGAGCAAAGATTAAAAGACACGAATTTCGACCATATTGAATATCCTCTGCAGTTGAGATCTGACGTTGAAACTGGTTTGTCAATCACGAAATGACATCCTCGTCGTGAGGTTGAGTCAAAACTGGAATATTTTGAGCACGAATTCCCTCGTTGTGAGGTTGAAAACGAGCTCAAAGCTTTTGGCAAGTGGTCTCTGAATCCTCTTCTGGCTCAAGGTACTTCGTCGTGAAGGTGAAATTGACTCTGTGTACTTTGGTGTTGTGGTGTCACAGATGACTTTCTCGTCGTGAAGTTGAGTCAATCTGTTTGTGAAGTTGGAATTGTATATGGCTCATTCGTCGTGAATTTGAGCCTGAGAATTGGATATCCTTCGTCGTGAAGTTGAAACCCAATGCAATATGCGTTGTTTCGAGGCCAATATCCTTCGCTGTGAAGTTGAAATTGGCTCTAAAACTGGGAAATTACTTGTTGACAACCAGCGGTCCCTTCGTTGTGAAGTTGAACTTGTGTTGTCTGGAGCCCAATCTCCTTCGTTGTGAAGTTGAAATTGGCTCTAAAATTGGGAAGTTGTTTATTGACAACCAGCGGTCCCTTCGTCGTGAAGTTGAACTTGCGTTGTCTGGAGTCCAATATCCTTCATTGTGAAGTTGAAATTGGGAAATTGTTTATTGACAACCAGCGGTCCCTTCGTCGTGAAGTTGAACTTGCGTTGTCTGGAGTCCAATATCCTTCGTTGTGAAGTTGAAATTGGCTCTGAAATTGTTTATTGACAACCAGCGGTCCCTTCATCGTGAAGTTGAACTTGCGTTGTCTGGAGTCCAATATCCTTCGTTGTGAAGTTGAAATTGGCCCTGAAATTGTTTATTGACAACCAGCGGTCCCTTCGTCGTGAAGTTGAACTTGCGTTGTCTGGAGTCCAATATCCTTCGTTGTGAAGTTGAAATTGGCCCTGAAATTGTTTATTGACAACCAGCGGTCCCTTCGTCGTGAAGTTGAACTTGCGTTGTCTGGAGTCCAATATCCTTCGTTATGAAGTTGAAATTGGCTCTGAAATTGAGAAATGTCTGTTGACAACCAGCGGTCCCTTCGCTGTGAAGTTGAACTTGCGTTGTCTGGAGTCCAATATCATTCGTTGTGAAGTTGAAATTGGCTCTGGGTAAAACCTGCAAAGATATGCATATATGCGATGTTATGGATGTCATGCTCTTAGGTATGCCTAAAATGTATATGCAACATATGTTATTCTGGGCTCTGGAGAGAAATCTCGATCTCCGGTGGCCTGTCGTTGTTGACTCTTGATTTTGAAAGCTTGAAGTTCCGATCTCTTATCTTGAATTCTTCAAATGTTTAAATCTGATGTGCACATTCTGTTTTTTTTTTTGATTTGGGAGATGCTCCTCAACCATCTCAAGCATGTGCATGAGCCTTGATCGGCTTCTGGGTACCTGTACTTTTCAATGAATCTTTGTACAGTAATATGCGATTATCTTTCACAAAAAATAAATAAATCATTAGGTTTAAATCTAATTCAAGATGCTCAGAAGGAATTAGATGAAAGATTGTCTTTATTCATAAGGGAGGAGAAGAACAAATAATACATGGCAAACATTCTAGAAAACGAATACACGATGATGTGTAAATGAATGTCTTAGATCTCAATAATGTGGGCACTTCTGAGCTGAAAAGCCGTTTGGTGACCTTGAATGCAGCCTTTGCCAAAGGATCTTTGAAAATGCGACAACGTTTGGGAGGGTGCAACATTTCTCCGTTTTGTTGAGTTCGTAGAAGATTCATGTGCCAGGATGTTTCCACCGTTAATATCCAAATCGCCCTTTCCGGGTTTTCAACTTGGACCCATCCTTGGTTGCAAGACGCCCTTTGCGGGTTTTCATCTTGAACCCACCTTATTTTCTCTTCTTTTGTTTGTTTTCCTATTTTTTTTTAATTTAGGGCGCCCTTTCGAGTTTTCACCCTAAACGTTTTTTTTTTCAATTTAGGGCGCCCTCTCGGGTTTTCATCCTAAGCGAAATATTTCTTGACTGCGTCTGAGTTGATGGGATGTGACAGTTCAGGTCCGTCCATTTCAGCCAGGACGAGGGCTCCTCCGGAGAAAGCCTTTTTCACGACATAAGGTCCTTCCCAATTTGGCGTCCATTTTCCTCGGAAATCCTTCTGGACTGGCCAAATTCTTTTTAACACTAGATCCCCTTCGCGGAATATTCTCGGGCGCACCTTTTTGTCATGTGCCCGAATCATTCGTTTCTGATAGATTTGACCATGATGAATGGCTTTCATCTTTTTTTCCTCTATCAGATTAAGCTGATCATATCTGGATTGTACCCACTCTGCATCGTCTAGTTTGACTTCTGTCAAGACCCGAAGAGACGGAATCTCGACTTCAATGGGTAGGACTGCTTCCATTCCATAGGCTAGTGAAAACGGAGTTGCCCCAGTCGAAGTTTGTACCGAGGTTCGATAGGCGAACAAAGCAAAAGGCAACTTCTCATGCCAGTCTTTGTAAGTTTCAGTCGTTTTCTCCACTATCTTCTTAATGTTTTTGTTTACTGCTTCTACTGCTCCGTTCATCTTTGGTCTGTAAGCAGTGGAATTGTGATGTTTTATGTTGAACTGTTCGCAAGCAGCACTCATTATCTTGTTGTTCAAGTTTGTTGCGTTATCGGTGATAATCCTTTCAGGTAGACCATACCGACATA